CTCCCTCTCTCTCTCTCTCTCTCTCTCTCTCTCTCTCTCTCTCTCTCTCTCTCTCTCTCACACACACACACACACACACACACACACACACACACACACAGAGCTAGGTGGCACAGTGAATAGAATTACAGGTGTGGAGAAAGGAAGACTCATCTTCCCAAGTTCAAAGCTGGCCTCAGACACTTACTAGCTGTGTGACCCTGGGCAAGTCACTTACCCCTATTTGCCTCAATTTCCTCATCTGTTAAATGAACTGGAGAAGGAAATGGCAAACCATTCCAGTATCTTTGACAAGAAAACCTCAAATGGGATCATGGAGTGTCTGACATGACTGAACAGCAAATCTTAGTGCCACACCCTTCAGGATTACTTTACCTGGGGTCCACAAATACGATTTTTTAAAAAATATTTTTATTTTTGTGTTTCAGCATAATTGATTTCCTTTTTAATCCTATGCATTTTATTTTAGGTATTTAAACATGATTCTGAAAAGAGGTCCATAGTTTTTACCAGACTGCTGGAAGGGTCCATAACACAAACAAGGTTAAGAACATCTCCTTTAGAAAAATGGCAGAATCATTTTTGACTACTTAGTGATGAAAGATGGCAGAAATGAGGGCAGAGAGAGGCAAAGACTCAGCAAGGAAAGCATAATGGATTCCAAGTTACAAGACACTGGCTTCCTCATTCCAGCTCTGACACTTATGACTCCATTACTCTGGACCAGTGACATCCTTTGTGAATCTCAGTTTTCTTATCTGTAATATGGGGAGATGCTGTTCTCCCTCTGTGAGTTGTTGTGAAGAAAGAGTTTAGTGAACCTTAAAGCACTAAATTGTTATAGTTGTGATGCTCTGATGATAGGCAGTGTGGTCTAGCAAACAGAGAGCCACCCTCGGAGATAGGAAGATCTGGGTTCAAATATCACCTATTGACAACTATCCGCTGTGTGACTGTGCACAAGTCACTTAACCTCTAGGTCAACTCTAAAAAAATGACAAACCACTCCAGTACCTTTACCAAGAAAACCCCAGATGGGGTCATGAAGAGTCTGACATGACTGAAACAATTGAACAACAACCATAAGATGTAAATTGCAGAGAAGGTGCTGATTTACACTGGTAGAGGGATTTTCCTTATCTGGGAGTTCTCTAGACCAATGAAATCAGAGGTCCAGTCCCTCTGGTTTCAAGGCTCTGTGAGTTTGTTGGTTTGGGTAATCACTCTGACAACACATTTTGTGACCCCTTTGTGCCGTCCTAATTACTATTGTGGTCAAACAATTCACAACTTAATTACAAGCCTCTCTGAACTTGGAGGCGTGTCTTCAGCCGACAGACATACGGCCCGTCAGTGGAAGTCAACAAACATCTATTAAGTATTTACTATGTGACAGGAACCATATACTCAGCGATGTGCCAGGCACAGTCCCAGGGCCTGGGCCTGCCCTAGAAGCCTCTCCAGTTTCAAAGGAACCTGTGGTCCACTGGTTTAGTCTTAGAGAGCAGAGCCGAGTCTCCACCTCACAAGGAGGAATGGGAGAAAGACGGCGGTGGTGGTGATGGAAGGTGTCCTATAATTCTTATGTAGAAGTGGCTTGGCATCAGGCATAGAGCACTGGACTTAGTCTCTGGAAGCTCAATATTCAAACAAGACTCTAATATTTGCTAGCCCAATGCTCCTGACTGGGCAGTCACCTCACTTGTCTGAAAGTCCCCAGATCTGCTCTACCAAATCGTACAGGCTGCATCTGTGCACATAAAAGAAGTGTCTCATGCAAAGGAACTCACAGATGATAGAGTGTGTTCTAGAAGGGACCTTAAGAGGTCTTCTAGGGCCGAAGTGGATAGAGTCAGGAGGTCCTGAGTTCAAATCCGGTCTCAGACACATAACACTCACTAGCTGTGTGATCTTAGGCAAGTCACTTACCCCCAATTGCCTCACACACACAAAAAAGAGGTCATCTAGTGTAATCTTCAATAATAACAACAACAACAACAATAATAAACATGCATATACAGTTATCCCTTCCATATCACAGGGGTTAGGGACATGATGCCCTCATGATCTGGAAAGTCTGTGTGATATTTTTTGGGCCTCCCTTTGTACCAGAGCAGAAGCTTGAATTTTTTTTCTTTTATGGGATGTTTATAATACTTTATTGTAAAATTTGAATTGATATTATACAATGTTATACATATATTTTATGCATTTATGAGTGTCTAAACCTTTTCTTCATTGTCTGCTGGCCTTTGTGCATCACCTGTGGCTTCTGCAGAACTCCCCAGAAATTCCCATTTAATTTCTTATGCTGACACGGGATGTATGGAAACTTCAACCTTGATGGGGAAAATCTTGAGGTGGAAGGGATGACTGTAGTGCCTTAAGGTTTGCAAAGCACTTTACAAGTATTATCTCATTTTATCATCACAACAACTGTGGGAGGTAGGTGCTATTACCCCACTTGACTGATGAGGAAACTGAGGCCCGGTGAGATGAAGTCACTTGCCCAATGTCAAGTAGGCAGGATTTGAATCCAGGTCCTCAGATTCTTTCCGCAAGCACTGACTGTTTAATACAGGGATGCTGTCATCTTTTGTGTCCTGGCCCCCTGGTCTGGACTTCTTCTGGGGTCCTGTGGATTTCTTCTCAGAATAAGGCTTTTGAAATACACAAAATACACAGAGAGTTACAAAGAGAACCAATTCTGTCTGAAAGACAGCTATGGAAGGTTAAGAGTCTCTGATTTGATTATAAAGCTCTACAGGAAAACAGAAGGGGAAGGGGATAAGAGAACAGGGCATGATAGAAGGGAGTGCAGATTAGGGGAAGGGGTATTCAGAATGCATATCATCTTGGGGTGGGGGAAGGGATGAGATGGGGAGAAAATTTGGAACTCAAAATCTTACGGAAGTGAATGTTGAGAACTAAAAACAAACACATTAATTTAAAAAAAGAGTCTGTGATTTGAGAGGTTCCTTGGGGGCTGAGATAGTCAAGAAGGGCTGTCTAGACTCCAGTCTAGAGAGTGTGGAGCTTCAGCTTCTATGGTTATTATGTAACAGGAAAGCTCTGCTTTAACCTGCTTGTCTCCCTGTACACAAGGGAGTCAGGAAACATATATGATAGTCCTAGCTCTGCCAATGATTTCCCCTCTCTGGGCCTCAGTTTTCTCCTCTGTAAAATGGGGCAGGAAGAGGGTAGGGTAGATCCGATGAACTTTCCTAGATAACTGCCTGGCTCTGACATTATAAGATTCTAGAATTCTTACTGCCTTTGTGGGCTGATGGCCTGTTTTTGGATACCCAGCAGTCCATGATTGGGGTGAGACTGAAAGCCTCTCCTGACTGGGACTCTGCAAGCGTTACCCTGTCCCTTGCCCTCTAGGCTCTATTCTGGGCTCCAGTGACCTCTCCAAAGAATGGACTCTGCTGGGGTTGATTCTTCTGTTGGGCCTATGCCCCTTCCCCTACCCCCTCCGACCTTCCAGCCTGGGAAGAAGGTACCGGATCTCATTGTTCTCTCCCACTCTCTCCCCAACTTTGCCATTTGGGCTCATGTGGTTTGATGGCTTCTACTGGAGAGACGGTGTCGGCTCTTTAGGGAATGAATGGCTGGAGGGAGAGAGGCAGAATCCGGGAGGTGATATGAAGTGTACAAACAGACATAAACACATACGCCCACTCTCTGAACAATATATACATACACCCTCAAATAAACAGAGGCACACAAGTCACAAACACGTAGAAAGTACGACCAGCTTTCACATCCTGCTGACACCATCTGGTCAGAGAAGACCCCTTGGTGGGGAGAGGAAACCAGTACATACAAATAGCTAGAATGACTAATGAATCTATCCATGAATTATCATAGAATCCTAGGATCACAAAGGTGGACCTGGAATGGACAGAGAGGCCACTTGGTCTGACCTCAGCTATTTTTTCTTGCATATGGGGAAACTGTGGCCAAAGGAGGTTAAATTACTTGCCCAAGGTCACATGGGGAGTAAGCATCAGAGGTGGTGTCTGAACCCAGGTCCCCTACCTCTGCAGCCAGAGAAGGCTTTTTCCACAGAAACATGAATGCAGCCCCAGCTCTATTAAGCACTGTGTGCATTCTTATCTGGCTTATTCAAGTATGATGTATTCAAAAGGTGCCTGGGGGCTGCTGGCCTGAGATGAATGCATTTGAAAAAGACTCTAGCTCCCTTCACTACCATCATGGCCCCTAGCTGGGAGTTCTGGGTTTCCCTGAAATTTCCCTGGGTGTTTCACTTATCATGGACTGGAACAGACAGGGGATTAGTACATGCTTCCTCATGTCCTTTTCATATGTGCAGAAGCACCAGGGATTTATATGTTATCGATAAACCTTGCAGTTACATTTAAGGAATGTGAAGATGAATTTGTATTCCTTAAGCTCAAGAACCAGACTAATTAGCATGCAAACACTCAGAGCCAGAAATACAAATGCAAACATACACATATATAACATGTGAGGCGTGTAGTCACATATAGACATCTTCAATTGCCAGTAACAGATTGTAAACCTTGCCCTGGCTATATACCAAGAGATCACAGATTCATAGAATCTCAGGGGTTATCCAGCCCAATATATGCTTGCATAGGAAACCCTTGGAGCACTTCTGATATAACATCATTCGGCCTCTGCTTGGATTCTTCCAGTGGTGGGGAGCTCATTACCAATTTCACTCTTGGTTAGTTTTTATAATAATAGCTGGTATTTATATACATATATATTTGTATATTAAACATATATTTATATTATATATTTATATAATTTATAATTTTAAATAGCATTTATGTAATGCTTTAAGGGCTATATGTGTGATAATATTTGTAAGGCACTTAAGCACAGGTAGCAGGTACTTAATAAATGCTCATTCCTGTCTCCTCCTTCCCTTCATTTCATCCTCCCAACAACCCTAAGAGATAAGTGTATTATTATCCCCATTTTATAGCAAAGGAAAGAGACTAGCTGAGCTGAAGTGACTTAGCTAAGGTCACACAGCTTAGTGTCTGAGTCAGGATTCAAACTCACCTGTCTCCAAATCCTGTGCTCTATCCACTGAACCATACTTCCTTCTTATTGTTGGTACGGTTTTCCTTACATTAAGCCTAAATCTGCTTCTCTGCTTTTGGTTCTACCCTCTTTGACCAAACAGTACCCTTCTTTCCCCTCTTCAAATAATTGAAGGCAGTTTTCATGTCCCTCCTAAGTCTTTTCATTTTGTAAGTTATTTTTTTCAAAAATATGATTTATTTATTTTTAACATTCTTTAAAAAAAAATTCTCTCCCTCCCCCACCCCTCCCTACCCACTGAGAAGGCAAGCAATGTAATATCAATTATACATGTGAAATCATGCAAAACACATTTCCATATTCGCCATATTGAAACAAAGAGCAAGACGAGTAAAGTGAGAAAATCCTATTTCAATTTGCCCTCAAAATTCATCACTTTTCTCTCTCCGGAGGTGGATAGCATTTTTTCATCACAAATCCTTGGGAATGGTCTTGGATCATTGTACTCATCGGATTAGCCAAGTCTTTCACAGCTGATCATCATTATAAGACGGCTGTTACTGTGTACGACGATCTCCTGGTTCTGCTCACTTCACTTTGCATCAATTCTTATAGGTCTTCCTATGTTTTTAGACCTCTATACATTCCTAGCTCCTTCAAGTGATCCTTGAATGACCTGGTCACAGCCTGGGTTGACTACGTCCGTGAACCATTCTTTATATTGGGTCTTAGGAGGATAAAGGGGAAGGGACAGGCTAGTCACCAACAAGCAGCAAAGGGTGATGGATTTGGAATCATGAGACCTAGGTTCCCGTTCAATTCAACAACTCAACAAGTGGTATTCATTAAGCACCTACTACTACGGGACAGGCACAGTGCTAGGCACAGGGGTTACAAAGACAAATGAGAAATGAGCCTTGCCTGTGGGAATTATTTACATTCTACTGGAATTCCAGGTGTCCTACTATGTTTGAGTTCCAGATGTTTCTCTTATAAGCTGTTTGACCTTGGAAAAATTATTTCTCTCTGAGCCTCAGTTTTTTTCTCCGCAGAATGGGAATAGCTTGTACACTACTCACCTCAAAGGGTTGTTATAAAGCTAGAGAAGTAATAGCTATTGTTATTGGTGACCTGAAAGCTGCAGAGTTGAGTAACTGTGAGTTTGTTTATTTTTCAGCCCTTATGAATGGAGCACAGGAATGAAATCCAACTAACTCAAGTTCAAATCCAGGTTCCCCTCCCTTCCCTCAGACCTCCAGCCCAGGAAGGTTTAGAAGCAAAGCTAAATTGCCAAGGAGCTGGAAACCCAAGGGTTCACTTCAAGAACTACTCCCCTCCCCTCCCCAAACCACCCTACTTTTCTTCTTTATACATTTGCTTTTCTTCCCCTTTTCTGAGCAAGCAGCTTCCTTATTGGGAGAGATAATTAGATTTGGGCCTGAGATGATGAAAAGCTATCGGCCAGTTGTGAGGCAGATGTCTTTGAAGCTGGGAATCCTGTGAAGATAGTAGATGTTGGAAGGGCCTTGGAAGAGATGCTTAGACCTACCTCCCGCTGCCTTAGAGAAGGGAGGGAGGCAAGGAGGCTCAGGAGTGAGTTGCCAACCACCGACAGTCACAGGCCCCAGAGGTGTTAAGGAGAGGCTTAGTCTTAGACCCTTTTAGGATATGGCTGTAGCTCACCTTTAGGAGTGAGCTTATATGAAAGAGAATTGGATGTGAAGTCAGACTATCTGGATCCCAGTTCAGGCCCTTGCTGGCTGTGTGACATTGGGAGAATCATTTAACCTTTCTGGGCTTCAGATTCTGCCTCTATAAACAGCAGATAGTATCAGCCCTACTTCTGTCACGTGGTTATTGTAAGCTTAAGTGAAATACCATGTGTAAAATGCTTCATAAATCATAAAATCCTATAGAAGGTCACCTTAATAGGTGTTTGTTTAGGAGTTTGTATGTGTGTTGGAGGGTGTCCACGGGAGGTCATGTCTCGGAATGAGAATGAATCTGGGCACAGGTCTGATCTGGCTCTGGAGATGGGGCTTTCTGACAGGCTTCTGAGGCTCATCCCAGGAACATCTCTCCCTAGATCTGAAGTCTCTCTACAGTGTGCACTAAATGTCTCTTGGACTGTCTAGAAAGCACCATGTGGTACTGTGGAATGGCTTGTCAGGAGACCTGGGTTCAAGTCTTGACTTTGGCACTTACTAGGTATGTGACCCTGGGCATGTTAACTTCTCTTTTTGCCCATACGCAAAATAAGGATAATAATAAACTCCCTCCCGGGGTTGTTGTGAGGAAGACACTTCTAAAACCATCCTGTACTTTAACAATGGGGATCATTCTCATGGTCATAATCATAGCTAACATTTATGTGGTGTTTTTAAGGTTTACGTTTATGTTTAAGCTTATATATGTTGTCTTGTTTGATTTTATAACAATCCTGTGAAGTAGCTGCTTTTATGTTATCCCCATTTTACAGATGAGAAGACTGAGGCTGTGAATGGGTGACTTGCCTGGCTGGTAAGTTGAATTTGGGTCTTCCTGCCTCCAAAGCCAGATATGCCACCTAGCTGCCTAAGAGATGTCATCATTCTTGGCTCAAGCCGAGCCCTGACTC